ATGAGTCAAAGTACTCACCATTAGAGAAGATATGTTGTGCATTAGTCTGGACAACTTAAAAGCTTAGATAATACATGCTTTATCATACTATGTGGCTCATAGCAAAGTTGGATCCTATTAAGTATATCTTCGAAAAGCCCTCATTGATAGGAAAGATAGCATGATGGCAAGTTATGCTTTTAGAATATGATATCATTTATATATCTCAAAAAGCTATAAAAAAAAGTGTCATAACCGAGTTCCTTGCTAATAGCGCTGTCAAAAATTATGAACCAATGAACCTGGATTCTCTGATGAAGATGTGATGGCCATTGAAGAAAATGAACTTGTTAAAGAGTCTTGGAGGATGTATTTTGATAGAGCTACTAATACTTTAGGTCATGATATTGGGGTAATTTTAATATCTCTTGATGGCCACTATTATCTCATTATAGCCAGGGTAAATTTTAATTGCACAAATAATGTGACTGAGTTTGAGGCCTATGTTATGGGTCTACAAGCAGTAATTGAAAAGAAAATCAAAGTATTAAATGTGTTTGAAAATTCAGCTTTAGTCATCTACCAATTACGAGAAAAATGAGAAACCAGAGATTCCAAATTGATACGATACCATAAGTACATCTTTCAATTGGTCAAACAATTCGAAGAAGTTCAATTTAAGAAATTTGCATAGAGAGGAAAATCAAATTGCTGATGCACTGACTACTCTAGCTGTAATGATTAAAATAGATGTAAATACTAAAATCTAACCCATCAAGCTAGATGTGAAGGATGAACCAGCACATTAGTTAAGTGTTGAAGAAGAAGTTAATGGGAAGCCATTGTATCATGACATCATGCAATCATTAAAAGTTAGCAATACCCAGAACATGTAACAAAAAATGATAAGAGAACTATTAGAAGGTTGGCTATGAGTTTCTTTCTTGATGAAGATGTTCTTTATAAAATGGGTCAAGATTAAGTACTCTTAAGGTATGTGAATGCAGCTGAAGCGAAGAGGATTATTAAAAAAATACATGATCGAGTTTGTAAGGCACATGCAAATGGTCATATGATGGCTAGACAAATTATGAGAACTGGATACTATTGGTTGACAATGAAAAGTGACTGTATTGATTATGCCAAAAAATACCATAAGTGTCAGATCTATATCGATAAGATCCACACTCTTCCAATAACATTACATGTTTTGGCTCCTCCATGGTCATTCTCTATGTGAGGTATTTATGTCATCGGTCCCATTACTCCAAAAGCTTCAAATAGACATAGATTCATTTTTATGATGATTGATTACTTCACAAAATGGGTAGAAGCCACATTATATGCTAGCGTGACCCGATCTGTGGTATGCAAATTCATAAAAAAGGGAGATAATATGCAGATATGGGCTTTCAGATATAATTATTTCTGATAATGCCAAAAATTTAAACAGTAAAATGATGAATAAAGTTTGCATTCAGTTCAAGATTCGTCACCGTAATTCGACACCATATCGTTCAAAGATGAATGAGACAGTAGAGGCAGCAAATAAGAATATCAAAAGAATCTCAGAGAAAATGACTGATACTTATAAAGATTGGCATGAGAAGTTACCTTTTGCTTTGCATGCTTATAGAACATCAGTTCGAACATCTATTGGGGTCACTTCATTCTCTTTGGTATATGGAATGGAAGTTGTGTTACCGATCAAAGTAAAAATTCCCTCGCTGAGAGTCTTAATGGAGGTAGAATTAGAGAAAGTAGAATGGGTTCGAAATCGCTATGAACAGTTGAATCTCATTGAAGAGAAAAGAGTTACAGCACTTTGTCATGGTCAATTATATCAAAAAAGGATGATGAGAGCACATGATAAGAAAATCTATCCCCGTTGCTTTAGGGAAGGATATTTAGTGCTGAAAAAGATCCTTCCAAATCAACATGATAATCGAAAAAAATGGACACCAAATTGGGAAGGCCCGTATGTGGTGAAAAAAGCCTTTTCTGACAGGGCATTGATTTTGGTAGAGATGGACAGAAGTGATTTACCTACTCCGATAAACTCAGATGCTGTGAAGAAATATTTTACTTGAAAGAAAAAAAAAAGTAAAAAATAAAAAAATAATGACTCATCTAAGCTGAAAACCTAAAAAGGCAGCTTGGATGCGAAGAAGAAGCATCATTCCACAATACAGGGGTAAGTGTAGTTTGATGAACTCTGAATGATCAAGGAAGTCATCTAATTTAGTTTTAGAAAAAAAATCTGAGAATATTTTGTTCATGATTATCTTATGATCATTATTTGGGCACATTTGTTTTAACTCAAATACTTTACCATACACTTGTTACCAGTCTATTAAAATATCTATCTTTTTTTTAGAAATAACACCTATCCATTCTTTTATTCTTATTTTTTGTCCGTCATATGAATATGAGAACTGTGTGATTGCATTTTATTGATCTTAGACTTAAAATAATGAAAAGAAAAACAAACATAAAAGATCTTAGCGTTACTTTTTAAAAGTTTACAAAGGCAAATGAAAAAAGAAGAGAAAAGCATGATAAGACATTGATGTTGCAAACTTTTGAAGAAAAGTATTGGTAGGGAAGAATACAATGGTCAGATGTTAAGAACAGATTGGTCATATGGCAATTGTTGAGAATTTTGAACCTTTTTACCACAATGAATAATTTTGATTGTATTACATGCATTGCATTTAGAGCACTCAGTACTATCAATCCGACCTGGGGTCCACGCACCCAACCTGTGACATGCTTTTTTCATCAGCCTCTGACCGATCTGACTGAACCGAAACCGAACCGCTAAACCTGAACTTGGACCGAAACTGAACCAACCAGATCGTGCCTAGATTGAGCCGAACTGCCAAACCGCACCCGAACTGCCGAACCGAACTGCGCATTGACCAGACCGTTGATTGATCCGGTTCAGGTAAAAAAAAATTTTTTTTGAATTTTTTTGAATTTTTTATATATTATTTTATTAAAATTTATGCATATTAAAATATTCATAGTTGTTAGATTAAATGATGAAATTGTAATTAAAAATTTTATAATTTTGTTATTTTTTTAAAAAATAAACTTTAAAAACAAAATAAAATAAAAATAAATTTAATAATAATACTAAACTAATAAAAAATGTAAGAAAAAGAAATTTTTATCCGACGATGAGATTCAAAGGTACTCCGAGTAGTGATACCTACGAAATCTCTAGGTGAGAAGATTTTTTTTTAAAATACTACCAGTGTATTAGAGTATTTATAAAAAACTTTTCAATACAATAAAAATTTTCTTGTATAAAATAGTAATAAATAAAAATTGATTAATAAATTAAAAATGAGTAATAAAAATGAGAAAAAAGGAAATTTTATCCGATGATGAGATTCTAAAATATTTCGAGTATAGATGCTTTAAGAAATCCCTAGGTGAGAAGATATTTTGTAAAATATTACCAGTGTATTGGAATATTTATAAAAAATCTTCAATATAATTAAATTCCTTTTTCTTCAAAATTTCAATTAAAAATAAATATTAATAAAATAATTAATAAAATTTATAACAAAGGAGAATAAAATGTGTGCACCAACATGGTAACATTTTGCATTGCATGTATGACATTTTTATGAAAAGTAAATTTGAGCATCCGAGGATGAGATTATAAGATATTCCGAGAAGCGATGTCAAAAAAATCTCTAGGTGAAAAAAAGTTCTTCTAATGTTACCAACGTACTGAAACATTTTAAGAATTATTTCAATAAAAAGGTTTTAATTTATTTTTCTCGAGAATAAAATTTTTTTTCTAATAAATAAAAAATCAAAGAAATTATTTTTCGAATATCGAAAATTAGATTATTTTTATCAAAATCAAAAGATAACACGTTGTTAATTGGTACCGTTTTTAACGGGCGCTGTGAGGGTGCTAATCTTTCCCCACGCGTAATTGACTCTCGAACTCAGATTGTTTCGCAGACCGTAAAATTATCTTTTTAATAAATTTTAATTAATTTAAAATTTTTATTAAAATAATATATTTTAATAGGTGACCAATTACACCTAAAAAAAAAGATTAATAACGATTTCGTTATTTTTTTATTTCGTTTTTAAATTCATCAGATGAACATAAAACTATTACGACACCCTCAATACCAAAAAATGGGAAGACAATGCAAAAGAAAAAGAGCCCTTCACCCAAGGGCCATCTCTTAGCAATCCGGCTAGTTTATATTATCCCTTCGGCCTTCACTGTTTTATAATTTTTTTTTTTTGACAAAATGTTAATCGCTATAATTGATCAACATCATCATTAGATCATCATTAGATTTTTCATAGATTTTTAATGTTGAGAAGCCTGGGCCTAACCCAAACCAAACCATAGCTCAGCAGCCGTAAGAATGAATGAACGTCCCACTTGCCAAATTCCAATACCATCGAAGGAGCCAGGAATGGGGCTGACCAAAAGAAACTCAGTTGAACCATCATATTTCACTCACCAATCTTCCCTTCTTTTACGTTCAACGAAAGCAAGCACAACGTGTCCGTAAAGATTGTTGAAATCTAATGTTTCATTTGGCCGAATCTAATCATAAAATGCAATTACTACGCGATAAAAAAAGAATCCTGGTAATATTACTTTCATGTTCCATAAGTTTAGACTCTATTTCGACGACTTCCAATAAAAAAAATTTCTGGTACAATCACCACGAAATTGACCCTTCCAGGCCATTTCAAGTCAAAGAAGAATAATATTAAATAGTAAGGTTGTATTAGGCTCCCAAAAGTACTCAATGGGCAGTGGAAAAGGCAAAAGTAACAGCCGCCTATGATATTCTCTTCCAAGAAACTTCGTTGTCCAAAAACGCAAACAAATTGTTATTTGAGAAAGTTTATTCCAACAAGATAAACGGCAGGTTCCACGCAAGAAACGAGACACGTCATGTAAATAAGGACAAGACAAAGGTAGCTAGGCCAAGCTGACCAAGTTTTCTAGCTACTTCCAATCAGCCGGAGAAGAGAAGTTTCCTCTTTAACAAAAGAAGAAATGACCCATTATTTCCTTATTTTCTTTCATATTGTATTTCTTTTTTCTTCCTGGTGGTCCTGACTGCAGCTTACAGGCAACTTCCCTCTCAACCACCTTTGAAAGCTGACCATACCTGATGCCTTAAAATACCAATCCCAAACTTCACCATTCCGTCGAATTCATGCAGACTATTGTTTTTTGTTCCTTTTGAATATCATTCTCTCAACCTGGATAACAGTTTTTCACTTTCTTTTACATAGAAGAAAATCAAATAGTTCTAGTTTTTTAGTCTTACCAATTATATTGCTATACTTCAATGGAGACATCATCTGCAAACTCAAACTCTAGCCAATTTTTTTTTGTTGATATGATCTTGTTGTTTGATAGTTTGATACGTTATGACAGCATTAAAACTTTTTTCTTAAGTTATTGGTCTTTCCCACAATCCCAGCATGAACATAGCAGCTCAAAGACATCATCAGGTTGGGAGAACAAGCAGAATTTTGAGTGTTCAAGAAAGGAAGTTTCATCTACAGAAAAGAAGGAAGATGATGGGAGATTTCATAGAAAAGATGTGGAGAAGGTGATGGGGAAACTGGGACTTTTTTGCAGCCAAGAAAGTGAGGAGCTAAATAAATCATTTGGTTCTGATGAGCTTTCCAGGCTGTTTGAGGAGGAGCCAAGCTTGGAAGAAGTGAAGCAAGCTTTTGATGTTTTTGATGTGAATAAAGATGGCTTTATTGATGCAGAAGAGTTGCAGAGAGTTCTCCTTATTTTGGGATTGAAAGAAGGTTTAAAGCTGGAGAACTGCAACACAATGATCAAAACCTTTGATGAAAATGGAGATGGCAGAATAGATTTCCAGGAATTTGTAAAATTCATGGAGAACAGTTTTTGCTGAATCAGTCCTTTTTTTTTTCGTTTGTATTGGAAAATTATAATATTAAGATATATATTTGATTATTTTGACCTTTATTTGTTTTTATGTGGTTTATTTGATTTTTCTAATTTTCTTTTGGTTGTAATTGTGATTATGAATTTGTGATTGCAAAGTGAAACTAATAGCCTGAAATCAAGACCTCAGAAAATTAGGAAGAATTTTGGCTTATACTGTCAACTATTTTATTTTTATTAGTAGTTCTAACAGAGGAAGAAAAGATAATTTTATTGAAGAAAAGATAATTTTATTGAAGAAAAACATGATTCCATGGTCCAATAAGATAAAAAAAAAAAAATCCATGCTCTCAGAATTTTGTCTCCTTCAAAGTGAAAAGATTGTTGAGTATATATCCAAAAACAAGATTGCTGACTATACAAATTTGCACCCCCGTCTCTGAATTCAATCTTTGTACAGAGAAAGACAGTAGGGGAAAACGAAAAGCGAGCAAACAGATGAATGTTCTAGAAAGTTTATAGAACAATTTTGTTTCCCGGAGCAAGAATCAAAATCCATTGAAGATGCCAGTATTCAAGCCGCAGGTCACTTAGTCTGGCATATTGGTAAAAGGCTGGCTTTCGTTCTCTAGTTCCTGAAATCTGGGAATAATTGTTGGTTCTTGCATTCGTAAATGTGCTTGAAAACTTTATATCAACCTCTAAGAGGACCGTGGCTTCAAGGATGTAGCAGCACGGGCAGGATCAGGGAATTAGTCGGCTAGATATAGACCCTGACGTTGGAATCCATGACCTAAAAGAAAGAAATCCATTCATAGTCTTTTTTAATTATAAATTATAATAAAGGCAAGATATAATCCATTCTAAGAACATCCATTCAAATACTTACATAGTATCCAGGTGAAAAGAATGAGGATTAATGAGCCCTGGCTGTTTTGGAGATAGATGTGGAATCCATGTCCTCTGAGTTCCAGAACATACAATTTTCTTCTCCATTCATCCAGAAGCAAATAGTCAATGAATCTATTACCAGTAATCTGCACATGAACAGCATCCATTTTGAAAACTGTGGAAGCGATTTGCATCTCTCACAATGATGATCCTGTTAGTGACCTTTGAAATAAGTTTGACAGCTGAGTGGCAATCATCACACATTCTAAGGTTTTTAAATACACGAATAGGTGCCTCGAAGGGAGTTTGCATGAGGCCATATGCAATGGCCAATTTCTCGCTGTGATAACTAAGGTAGTCTTCCTTCTGCTCTTCCTCCACATCATGCAACACAGCAGCAACATCTGGTATGTATCCCAATGGCTTAATCCTAGCTAAAAGTTCTTTTACTTTCTCATGAATTTGACTTGACTCTGGGTGTTGACAGTCCTCAGAAACAAAAACATGAGTAATATTTCTTACCTCTATCCAGCTCACGCCAGGTTCTTTCTTGATATTTCTATCTCTCATCAATTTTCGGATCTTCACAACTTCATCCCACCTCTTTGCTTTTGCATAAACATTAGATAATAGTGTATATGTTCCCACATCATTAGGGTCCATCTCTAACACAAATTCTGCTATGCGCCTCCCAAAACCATAATTCCGATGTACACGACAAGCACTGAGCAATGTACGCCATGCAACAACATCCCATTTTACTGGTATAGACCTCAAAAATTTCTCAGCCTCATTAAGAAGTCCAGCCTTGCTCAGGAGTCCAACAACACAAGTATAGTGCTCCAACCCAGGTTCTACTCCAACCTGTCTCATGAATTGGTTCAAGTAGGATAAACCTTCTTTTACTAGACCAAGATGGCTACAAGCAGAAAGAACCCCCACAAAAGTAATATAGTTAGGACATTGTCCTACATCCAACATGTCTTGAAACACATCCATAGCCTCCTTTCCTAGCCCATGATGAGAATACCCGCATATCATCACATTCCAAGTAATGCTGTCTCGATACATCATATCTGAAAAAACTTTACTTGCTGCTTCAATGTTGCCACACTTTGCATACATATTAATCAAAGCATTTCCAACAATAACATGGTCCTTAAAACCTGACTTTACAATTTCTCCATATAGTACGTCTCCATGTTTTAGTGCAGACAATCCTGAAGTGGAATTTAACATAACCCCAAAAGTAAACTCATTAGGTGAAATATCGTCAAGCTTCATCTCTGGAAACAGATTTAATGCTTCCTCAAAGCATCCATTTTGGGAGTAAGCAGCCATGATTCCTGTCCATACAACCACATTCCTAACTAGCAACCCATCAAAAGCTTTCCTAGCATTAAAAACCTCCCCGCATTTCCCATACATATTAATGATTGCACTATTAACAAAAACATCCAACTTAACATCACTTTTCAGAATCCTACTATGCAATTGTAAGCCCAACTTCAAATCCTTAAGACAAGCACAAAGTCCAAAGACAGTAACATAAGTTACACTATCCCACTCCACACTCTCTCCCATCATCCTTTCCAAAATTTCAACCCCTTCATTCAAGAACCCTTGTTCCAAGAGTCCACTTAAAACTGAATTATATGTAAAAACATCATAACCAGGCACTAAACTAAAAACCCTCATAGCTCCTTCAACATCCACAAACTTTGAATACATATTTATCAATGCATTCTTAACATATTGATAAAAAACCAACCCTGACTTGAACACATAACCATGACACTGTCTACCCTCTAAAGCCTTCCCACTGTCGGAACAAGCTGAAAAAACTACAGCGAAAATATACTCATTAGGCCTCAAACTATCCACCAAAGTCATATTTTTGAACAACTTTAAAACTTCCAATGAAAACCCAGTTTGCAAATACCCAGCCATTAAGGAACACCAAGAAACCAAGTTTCTTTCCTGCATTCTCTCAAACACTTTCTGAGCAATTGAAATTTGGTTACATTTTGCATAGAGATTGATTAAAGAGTTTAACGGGTTTATGTTGGTTCCTACTGAGATTTGATTGGTTACAAGTAAATGGGTATGGATTATTTTGCCTAATCTTAAGTTTTTTGTATCAGCTGAGACTTTTAGAAGCTTAGGTATGTGGCTGAGGAGCATAGAGTTCGTTGGGTTGAACAAAAACGGTACCAGTTGGGTCCTTGGTCGTTTTAGACCGGGCATTTTTTTTGGCTGGATTTTCAGAGCAGTATTTTTTGAAGCTTAGAAGTCAAAGGCCACGGATTTTTTTTTTTTGCTTTGAGTACAGGAAAGAAGAGAAAAAATGGAAAATGAAAAGAAAAAAAAAAAGAAAAGATGAAAACATAAATGTTTTTATTTGTTATTTATAATAAAATCAAAATTTTAAAAACAATAAAATACATACAAACAAGAAAATTTATCGTTTCATCTAAATTTATAATTTTTTTTTACTTTTTTACTTTAAATATTTTTATTAAAAAATTAAAATTTACTATAAATTTAAAATATTATACAATTGATCAAATAACTAATAAAAAATATAATGCATATAATATAACTCGAAAAGTCAATAATAAAAATACAATCATAATATATTATTTTTAATTGAATATTTTCTAATATTTTGTATATGAATTATTTTCTTTAATTTATTATTAAAATAATCATAAATATATTAAAAACAAAAAATATAAAAAGTTTTATTAATGAATTAAAGGATGTTGCATTGTCAAAATATAAAAAATTTAAGAGATTATTAATAATGAAACTATATTGATTAAGCAGTCAATTAATATTGACAATGAATAAACCTAAAAGTCAATATTGAAAATCCTTGGCTAATGGTAAGTCCACATTCCGTAAATTTGAGATTTGAAAAGAAACAAAATTGTTTAGCATTCAAAATACTTTTAATTAGATTTGACAATTTAAAAATATGATACAGTAACATAATATGAATATAATACGAAATAATTATATTTTATGTTTTGTATTGATATAAATTATAATATTTAATTTTTATATAAAATATGATTCATTATTTTACATAAACACAAAAATACCAATCACCGAAACTGTTCCAACCAAATAATATATTTTCTTAACTTCGGGTTTCAATCTTTATTTTTCATAAATGTGCTCTTAGAAGCCTTGAGGGATGGAAGAATGATAAAGAATCGGGGCATGAAGAAAGTGGCCCAGTTTGCAATATGATCTCGGACATGCATTACTTAATCACTCAGTCCAAGTTTTTTCTCAGGACTCTTCCTTATAGAATCCCTTAGAACTATTTTTTAGTATAAAAGATCGCAACATTGAAGATAAAAGAAAATGTTTGTAAGTGTTAAAGATTTAAATTTTAAATTTATTAAATAATATATTTTAAAGTATCTATTTGAATCAACTAAGTTATGTCCTTTTTTTTTTTTTTTAAATTTTGATTCAAGACATTCCAAACTAAAAGCCCTCCACTGTTGAGCAAAAGATAATTAGGTGTCACCAATTTTAGGAGGATTCAGCCCTCAGACCATTGAGAACAAGTTGACACCACCTCGAGGTTGGCGTAGCAGCTCAGGTTCCTCTAAGTCTTTCATATACTTCGGATTTATGAGGCAAAGGACTGGGATGGATAATAATAGTAGTAAAAATTATGCATGTTTGTTTTCAAATTACGGTGAACTCCTACATTGTTTTATTCATGGATTTTTAATTCGAAAGAAAGAGATTCGAATGATAATGGTGCACAGATTGTGTCGAGAATCTAAGCTGAACATCTGTATATTTATGGTTTCACCAAAAGTTAAAGCATAAGAGGCAAAATTTATGATATAATAGTGCATAGATTTGGAAGTAGGGTTAAGGCATAGCAGATCCCTTGAATAGCCTCTTAAGATGCTTGTGATAAATGTTATCTGTACCTGAATTCTGCAACGCCATGAAAATTGTATGTTTTGAAAAGTACCCATGTTTTTGTTCTGTAACTTATTAAACCCACTGTTGTTCCATTCCAATGCCTAGCTTATTCTGTCACTGGTCTCTTCACCATAGGCATCTCTCTCTTTCTCTCTCTCTCTCTCTCTCTCTCTCTCTCTCTCTCTCTCTCTCTCTCTCTCAATATCACACTTTCTTCGCCATATGAGATAAGAGAAGAACGGTAGGTGTTGAGATTTAAATGCAGACTTATTAAATTGCATAGAAAGCTAAGTTTCGGTTCTTTTTAAGTTTGTTTTTACTAAAAGGCATGCATGTATTAGTGAATTTCCTTTAAAGTTTTTACATTAAATCATTTCTGCCTATAAAAGAAATGGCAACAAAAATGAATAATGAAAGAAAGAAAGAAGAGTACTGTTAGACTGAGAAAGAGTATTAGTTCACTGGTTCAATGTTTGGATTTTGTTAGAATGGCTACAAGGACAAAGATGCTGATGATAATTAAGGGCTACGTCTGGGGTTTGTGATTCATCTTGAAAAACAATTTTTTTCTCTTTGCCCTGTAATGATGTCTGAGCTAGTCTTTGGACACTCTTTTCAGTTTTAAATCCTTTTACCCGCTTTGGAAATCCTTGTTCTTCATTAAGCTCCTACTCCAAGAAAATCGATAAAGGGTGGTGATGATGGGCTAGTGGTCTGATCAAAATGGCTTGCTACTGTGTTCTCTGCAGCTGATGGGGAGGATGATGATGGTTCAGTGACTGTGACCTGAGATGCTGATGCTATGGAATCAGAAAAACCAGATGGTTGATGGTTACTTGATTGTTGCATTAACATCTGTGAAGGAAGAGAATTGGGATGGGAAACAGCCAAGGTCGTTTCATCTCGAAGCATGTTCCATTGCCTACTGTTCCGGCTAATTAAACCATCTTGGCTACTATAATCTGCAAAAACATCCACAATCGACCCTTTCATGAAAATGAAGAAAAAAATGACTAATTAAATGCTGCAAATAAAAGACCAAGAAAATTGAAAATGGTCTTTCTCTGCAACATATGAACTTTTAAATGCAACAATGTATCTTACACTAGGATGACTAGACTTAGAAGAGAAACTTGGTGAAAGATTGTTAAATTTAGCTTAAAGTAGCAATGAAAGGAAGCACAAAACTAAATGCAAATGAAATGACAGAAAGTATGGTAAGAAGGGACTAAAAGGACAAACCAGAAAACAAATCTAAGGATGTCTGGTTTTTACAAATTCCTTCCCCAGGAGATAAAGAGTTGTAGCTTTTAGACCCAAGAAGCAAATCTCTACCACTGCTTGCATCTCCTTTCTTTGAAGTCTTGTTGTAATTAGAGCCATTAGACGCGACAGATGAAGATAAATATGGGCTGTTAGAGGGGTTTGTGAAGTTGCCATTGGCTGCCTCTCTGCAGTCAAAGTTCCCATTTTCTTCCAACTTTTTTTGAACAGCTTGACTTAGCTTTCTCCTACTATAGGCACTAGCCTGCTGCCTGTATTTCCTAGCCATAATAACATGCCAATGGTTTTTTACAGCATTATCAGTTCTCCCAGGGAAAAGCCTAGCAATCATGGCCCATTTGTTACCATATGCTCTATGAGCTGCCATCAGCCTCTCTTCTTCCTCTTCAGTAAAAACCTTTTTGTTGATCCTTGGGTCAAGTTGATTAAACCACCTCAATCTACAGCTTTTACCTTGAAATGTAACAGAAGTTTTTACATGTAAAAATTGTACATAACAAATTCAAGCACAAGCTTCATATTTTCATCATTGAAGGAAAAAAATACAAAAAAAAAATGGAAAAGAACTTTGTAATGTATTTTTTAACTGATTTTACCTGTTCTTCCTTGCAAATTTTCAGCTATAAGGTTCCAGTTTTGAGGTCCATAAAGTGCAACAAGTTCCTTGAGTTTAGAGTCCTCAGCAGGTTTCCAATGCCCTCTAGCACAAACCTTTGACTGTCCAACATCCTTCCCATTGAGAAAACCATCACAAGGGGTATTATCTTCACTCATACAGATCATTCTTCTCCTCATATCCTCCATGGAAACTGCAGCATTGTTTTCTCCAAACCCATCAATTGATTCAGAGCCCTTCGAAAAATGAACAGCTACCTCACTGTTTTGTCCATCCTCTTCCAAGTCACAAGGACACTTGATTATATATGAAAACGCCATGTGACCCTTGACAGGATCATGATCACGAGTACAGTAACATATATTTTGTGAAGAAAAATGATAACTTGGAGTAATAGAGAGAGAATCCATGTGTTTTAACACCTCCATAGATGAGCTGGAAGGTGGATATATGCTGCTGCACCAATTGGACAAGCCATTATTTTCTTGGTGACAACAGGGGCTGTTGTGGAACTGTTGCAAGGTCGTCTTCATATCCCAAAATGGCAAAAACAAGTGCAGATAAAAACAAAAAAAGGAAAAGCAAGAGAGGGAGAGAGAGATTTTGCCAAGGAAAATAAGTGAGAGAGCTGCAGAAAATTAAGAGAGCAATATAGAGATTGGAGGCTTGGTGCATTGGCAGAGAAATAAAGAAAATCCACACGATTACTCATCTGCTGTTGAAGGCATTTCACTACTCTGTCAGAAACCTGACCTCTACTTTGACTCTTTCTGTCAAAGGACAGATTTCTACGCTACTTTATAGAGCGTAGAATATACACTTTCTTTTTTTTTTTTTAACGAATTTGAACTCAAAAAAAAAAAAAACACATTTTTTTAATCATTTGAATCAAACATGCATTTCGAAGAAGTTTAATAAATGAAAAATTCCTTAAATAAAAAACTTTCCTTTTAAAAGTTTGGTTTTGTTAGAAGTTGTTAATGCATATATGCACCAGTACAAAATTAACATCTAAAATGGTTGATCTAATATTTGTTAACATTTACTTTTAAAATGGTTAAAATTCGATATGGAATCTCTTTCTTCTATGGGTTTACATAAAAAAGATGAAACCATTTGCCTTGTACAGTTAGCTACAAATATGTATATTCTTGTGTATAAATACTGTATAAAACCATTTTTGCTACTACCAGAGACTGCATGTCAAAGTATAAAATGTAAAAGGGTGGCAAAAGGGACTGGTGGGGTATTTGAGCTTTCACCCTATATTTGCCATAAATTTGCCTAGCTAGTTTCTGCTGCTACATATCTGCAATATTAAAACCAAAACTGATAGTGCATAAACGAATAAAAGCTTTAGGTGCCATCCCTAACTGCGAGTGGTGTTTGAATTGTTCACCATTTGTTCCCTTGCATCACTGACACACGTGTGGATGTCATCTCATGTCACGTGTGAAAGTGAAACTCTCTGAGTCAGAGAACCATAAGCCTAGTGAGAGCTTCTGGGAATCTATCTAGCTTAACAAAACAAGGGGGCACTGCTGCTGCCCTATTGAAAGGGTTACTCCCCATGTCTCCTTGCCCTTGCTAAAGGCTCCTATGTATTTCCTTGTGATTCAGATGGGCAAAGCAACAAGGACAGCAAGCCTGCTTCCCTGGCTATAAAATCTATATCTTCATTTATAAAATTATAAATGACAATCCATATATATATATTTATGTTATATAAATTATCATTCGTATCAATATAAAAAATATTAAATAAATTATATATTTTTTTATATTATTTTATATCATCATATCATATTTTAAATTTCTATGATCATCTTTACTCAAACCAAAAAACCAGTAATAAATGAGTAGGAGCTCTCTCCATCCTAATCACTGTCAGATACATAACTTTGATACAGACCTCTGCTTTAACCCTGGGGGATTTTATTCATTTAACCACCTGAGATAGACCCAGCACCACCAAAGCCTAGCAGAACTACCATTGCATGAAATAGTATACGAGTTTTTCAATTTTGGAAACTGTACCAGCAAAGGCATTAAACTCCAAAATCAGTTTGGACCTACCACCTTCACCTGTTTTCTTTTGGTTACAACAACTTCCAAAACACCCTCAGATTATATTCGTTGTCAAAATCTTTCAGGTTTTTGAGTTTTAACTTCACTATCCATAGAAGATTTTCAAGAATTTTTTATAGCTAGATCAAAACTCAAGCTTCATGGATGGATTCAGAAAAATTTTATCTCAATCTCATTGTCATTGTCATTTGACAATAAAAGTTACCTCTATAAACTTAAGCTGGGCTAAAACATACAGGAACAAAAATCTTAACTGAGCATTAACCATATGTTTGAAGGGGAAATTATAAAGGAATAACAAATAAAGGAAAGATGGGGAAAGGAAGAGCAAGTTTGTTTCTAGATTTAGCCATGATCAATTAGTGTTAGTTACCCCAAATGTAAAGCAACCCTCCCTGCACAGTCAAAGAGGTAAACCATATTCTCAAGCCAAATTCACTGCCTGATTTGACTCAAATTCTCTAGAACAACAGCTAAACTATTGGCACATCCTGGGAGCATTTTCACTTTCAACCAGCAACCAGGCATTCTAAAACATTACCCCTCCCCCCCCCCCCCCCCCCCAGCACACACACACACACAAAAAACTTTTCACCAGCCCTTGTTTGACTTCAATTTCAGTGCCTGTCACCCTTTACCTTTTATATAACTTGATGCAGTGAGCCTGGAGACCTTGATTTCCCTTGATAAGAAACAACAGATATAGGCTACATAGCTAAAGCAACTGATAAGAAATTTACTGTAAAAAAAAGTAGTCGTAATACTACTAGATTAGGCACCATTCTTTTTCTTTGATAAAAACATTTTAGGTGGGAACCTCTCATTTGCCTTAATCGTTAAAAACAGAATTGCAATTTGTCCATCAAAATAATAACATGTACTGCTCTACACAAGGAAGAAATCAAATCAAAACACTGTCGATATCAATCCTTTTCTACTAAGTTAAACTTATTTGGATTAAGGCAACCTTAACCAATGTTACGTCTTTTCGAAAGCTATGATCTTGCTGGTTAATGCCAAGTATTAATTCAGAAAGAGAAAGCTTGTTCAATTTGTCAAAAGAAATGAAAATGGAATGACAGTTACATAATTATATAGCAATCAAATTTGAACCATACCTCCAATATTTTTCACCCTCTTATATTGAATTCTACCAAGAGCTGAAACTGGAAAACTTGCAACCCTAATTCAATCATACTTGCTGGCAACTTTCTTATCAAAATAATAATCCTGATAACTGTACAACTTAAAGCTTGTCAAAATGGATGCACAAATTATTATTAAGCCGTACATAGCAAGAGTGATAGGTTGTACATGAATAACTCTTATGATTTATATATTTATATTATATTTATTTATATTAAATATATGTAAAATACAAAAATTATATGTTATAATTATGTGAACATATCTAAATATAAAATGTAATTTTCAATTATTTTCAAATTGATATAATTTTTTATTAAAATTTTAACTTATTTTGTTTTTATATCTTTATCATATTATTTTTATATCATATCCCAAAAATGTATTCAAAATTACCAAATATATACATGGGACCATAAAAATATTAGTCTTTCAGTTGAGCCTACGAGTAGTTGTTGCCCCTAAAACGACCGATCATTTTTTTACTTCCCTGACTAAGCTTAACTTCTAAGCCTTTGTTGCTTCCCCAAGTTTTTGTTTATTTATTTATGTTTTATCATTAATGCAGTAACATAGAGAAGGACTGTTGCCACACCTTTTTGAGACAGATTTTCCCCTTTTTCAGATTTGGGTTTTAGGTTTTCATATGGCTCCTATGCTCTAAACCATTAGCTAAATTTGGCCTGTTTTCTCGTCCCCCTCTTTAATTTCCCAAGCCACAATCTAGCCAAGGTATGGTACGAAATGAAAAAAAGGCCGAAAGGTCTTGCTTCCAAAAAGTGGATTGTTGAAGCAGCTGCTATAACAAGCCTAATCAGCCATGAAATTCAGCATTTCTACTTTGAACTCCATTTATTTAATATTTGACCAATACTGTTTTTCATGGATGGGTGAGACTTATTTGCCACTGCTGGAGAGCAAAAGCCTGAGAACTTAAATCTAGCTTTCAGCTATGTTGATAAAAGCAAAGGACAGATCGAGATTTAAACTCTAGACTTACGTGATTTCAAGATTTAGAAATGGACTTTATGTGTTTCAGATCAGCCTATAATTGTATTGGATCTTAGGCATTCGTTATTGTAAGGTCTAGCTGTCCAGAATGCTACAAAAGACAAAGCATAAAAAATGTTCGAAGGAAGGTTAGAAAGAACAACAAAAAGTAAGACGAGTAAAGTTGTATTATTCGATAAGGTGAAGAATTTTTATTTATAGTTGAGTTTTTCTTATAATTAATGGTTGAGATTATCTTTTTCAAGTTTAAATATTACATTAATTTTCAAATTATAATGAATCTCTTGATTCTAACACTATGTTTAAATAAATATTAATAAAGAAAAAGAAAAGAAAGGAAAAGAATAGGAATTTTTTTTTTTAAAAAAAAATTATATATGTATCCCTTATTTGAATAATTAAAATTAATAAAAAAAACCAAATGAAAGAAATTTTAATAACCATTGTTTGGATAAAGAGCAAAAAAAATAAATAAAATAATTCATTATAATAATTTTTTTCAATTATAACCTTTAATTGCTTGTAATTTTAGAGCATTCTTCTTCAAAAATACTCAGTCATTATCTCATTTATTTGTTTATCCATCTATTCAACAAAATATTAACAATAATTATTATTATCATAAAAATAAATACACTAACACTTGTAACTTGTATGAAAGAAAATAATATTAAAACAAAATTAAATTAGAGAATTATGAGACTTACAGCATTTAACAATAAATCATACATACTACAAATAATAATACTAATATTTATCAATTACTCACATATATTAATTATTATAATACTAATATTTACCAATTAAGTTTGTGTGAAAAGCGTACTGATATGTTTATAATCATAGTCAAGTTAATTGTGTCTCAATGAAGCATCTCCCTTTTCCCACTTTTCTTTTTATAATGTCCTAGAATTGTCAACATCTCAAATTATAATATACTACATATAAAAATAAAAAATTTTAAGCTAATTCGATATCTCATAAATCTAAAAAATATGTTTATTCATATTCAATCATTTATCAAAATTAAATAACTAAAAATTATTAAAAATTTTTATATTGGAAAGACATGTAA